TCAGGCTGGTTTCGAACTCCTGAGCTCAAACAATCCGCCCGCCTCGGCCTCCCAGAGTGCTAGGATTACAGGCGTGAGCCACCGTGCCCAGCCTGGTGGATTCTTTTTTTACTTTAATTCCTTAAGGTTTCACGTAGGGAGAATATGATCTGAATGTCATTTTATACTTGGATCCCAAACTTACTGTGCTCCAGTAATGATGATCTTCTTTGTATACTCCAATCATGAGAAATTCATTCCTGCCACAAAATCTTTATACTTTGGTCTATCTAAGTGAACACTCTTCCCCACAATCTTTCTCATCATTCAAAACTCAGTTGAAATGACAGCTTTTCAGAAAGGCTTTCTCCTACCATTTAATCAAAAGCCTTTGGCTTTTTTTCTTTATAGCAATTATTTTATATGAAAATCTCATCTGTTCATTTTTTATTGATCATCTCATCCATTAGAAGGTAAGTCCGTGAGAACAAGGATCTTGTCTATCTTGTTCACTGTTACGTGCTCAGTTTCTAGAAAAGTGACAAACACAGGGAACTCACACAATCTGCAATCTTTATTAAGCTATCTCCCTCTCACTCCCTACTCCACACTAAACTATAAGCTCCATGAGGCAGGGCTCATGTCTATTATGCTTAGCACTATGTATCTAATGATTAGCATATTGCCTGGCACTAAGTTTACGCTACATAATTACTCACTGAATGACTAACTACTTGCAGTTTACAAGCCACACTGTCATATCTCTATTTCTTTCCACATGTTCTTGCTTCCTTCTACCTGGAATGCAGACTCATATCATCTTCATGGCCAATTCCTACTTGTTCTTTGAGGCTCAACTCAGACGTCACCTCCCTAAAAACTTTCTCTGACCCCACAAGCCAAGTACATTGCCCTGCTATGTTGGAGAGCACCCTGGGCATTTATATTGTATTATGATTGCTGGCCTATCATTCATACTCAAAAATCTTTAGAAGTGGGTAGTACATGTTTTTACTCTGTCTTCCTAGCACCTAGAAGAATGGTTGACATGTAGTAGGCAGGCATTTAGGCGATGGGGGAACAAAATGGATACATTCTTAATGAAAATTAAAGTGCTTTGTCTCCATTTCTAAAGAAGTTGTCTAATATAGTAAGTATATATATAGAAAAGGCTTTAAGTCGTAAGTCCTACAGTAAAGACACAATCTATTACTAGTTATATGACACTGAGAAAGTCACTTAACCTCTATTTTAGTTTTCTTACGAAGTGGAGACAAAAGAATCTAGCAAGGAAGGTATATATAAGGACATAATGATAGAACATAAAGCATTCTATAAAATTTAAGTGTTATATTTACCAGTACTATAGTACCCAACATACTGAAGGTACAAAGTAGTCTTTTTGCCCTTCATTTACTCATAATTTAACTTACCTATGAGTCTCCACTAAAACAAAGATGTTAATACGCCTTTATTTTCTGGCTAATAGAACTAATTTCCTGATTTAGTAAATTTAAGTGACAGACTTATTGTTATCAGTCCTTGAGTGCTTACTATATAGCAGATATCACTTTATATGCATTATTTCATTTGATTTTAACAAAAACACAATAAGGAAGATTATGTTATTATTCCCATTTTAAAGACGAATAAAGCAAAGTTCAGAGAGGTTAAGAACCTTGCTTAAGGTCACTAAGCAGTAACTGATAACAGCCAGAATTTGAACTTAGCCAATCTGTCCCTAGAGCCTGTTTGTTTTTTGAAAAGGGAAGGATTTCCTGTTGCCAGTTTATTATCATGTCATCATGCAAATTTCCCATGTTCAGAAATTTTTTTAAATGTCAGACTTGGCTGGGCATGGTAGCTGATGCCTGGAATCCCAGTACTTTGGGAGGCCAAGGTAGAAGGATCACTTAAGCCCAGGAATTCAAGGTTATAGTGAGCTATGATCATGCCACTGCACTCCAGCCTGAGTGACAGAGCAAGACCCTGTCTCGAAAAGAAAAAAAAAAAAGTCAGATCTAGCAAAGCCAGGCTTTTCTACTTTATTCTTTGGACCAGTAAGGAGAGGGAATTCCAGTTTCTCCTTGTTAAAAATGAGCTACACAAGAGCAGAATTTTCTTCCTGTCTGTTATTATCATTTCCCCTAGAATGCATTTACAGTTTTAAAATAAAAGTGCTGATAGAAACTAGCTTCAAAAAAGGCAATCTCAATTTATAGTTAACATTTACAGGATGCAACTATAATATCTATATTCAGGACTCTGGAAACATCGCTTATTCTCATGTATAGACAGAAAAGGATATTTTTTCAGCATATATAGGGTAGCTAGCCTTGCTGCTTGAAAGTTGGCTCTTACAGTTCTGTAGACAGCTTTCCGAAGACCGATGAGATGCTGACTGGGATGCTGTCCAGCTTTATTAAATGGGCAAGCAGCACTGACCCTGTCAAGCAAACTTGAAAAGTAAAATGTGATACAACTGTACAGGTGTCCTAAAGTCTTTGTTTCCTAAATTGACAATTCTATTAAACTTAGAAAACATATTCCTGTCTCATGATTTTCATTAGCAAATGATTATAAGTATGCCAATTCAGGTCTCATAATATAGTAATTTATCTGATACATATATAGCCACCAGGAAAAAGACAAATAAAAAATTAAAATCTCAAAGAGTAAAGGCTTCCTCTGATGTGGGGAAACAATGAATTTTAGTTGAGATATAACCAAAATGCAGGAATATTTATGTAAGAATTTGCATCTTTTTTACATAGACACTTTATCTCTAAAATATACTAACGAGGAAATACTTTACATTCAGTTTTCAAAATCTGAATCTGTAGGAACTATGAAGGCTTTAATTATAAACACTTTACCGTTCTTAATATACATTTACATATGTTCACCAAACATATATTTGGTCACTAGTACAGAAAAAAATACTGTATAAAAATACATTCTGTACATTCATAAAAGTAGGGCAAAATTACTTACCCACCTGCTGCCACTGGCACTTACCTACTCAAAATGAAGTAGGGGACGCAGAAAGATAACAGGACCAGTGGCCAGCAGGGGAACGCAAGTAGAAAGGCAAAGTAAGGGTTATTACATAGTAGCATAGCTACTCTCAAAACTGTTCAAGAGGAAGCACATTTCATGGCATTTTCCGTAAGATTAATAGGGAGTACCTATTTGTAACAATGACATATAATGTACTATGTTTTATAACTGAAAATACACATGATTAAATATTACATAGTTATCAGATAATAGTTTTTTTACCTAGCCAATAACCTTTTCCAATAGTAAAACAAAACACTGGCATTTGTAAATTTTCTGAACCACAAACCTATAATAAAACAAGACATCTAATTCAAAACTTTAAAAATGTTAAACCATACAAAATTATATTCAGGCATTAAAAAATCTACAAAAAGGCCAAGTGCAGAGGCTCATATCTATAATCCTAGCACTTTGGGAGGCTGAGGCAAGAGGATCACTTGAGGCCAGGAGTTCAAGACCAGCCTGGGCAACAGTGAGATCTCTCTCTAGAAAAAATAAAAAAATTAGCCAGGCATGGTGGCATGTGCCTTTAGTCCCAGCTACTCAGGAGGTTGAAGGAGAAGGATTGCTTGAACCCAGAAGTTGGAGGTTGCAGTAAGCTACAATGACATCACTGCACTCTTGCCTGGGCAACAGAGTGAGACCCTGTCTCAAAGTAGAAAAAAAAAAAAAATCTACAAAAAGGCCAGGCACAGTGGCTCACACTTGTAATCCCAACACTTTGGAAGGCCAAGGTGGAAGAGACCAGTAGTTCGAGACCAGCCGGGGCAACATAGTGAGACCCCATCTCCTAAAAAAAAAAAAAAATTAGCCAGGCACAGTGGCATGCACCTGTATTCCTAGCTACTTGGGTGGTTGAGGCAGGAGGATCTCTTGAACATAGGAGTTCAAGGGTACAGTGAGCTATGATCTCGCCACTGCACTTCAGCCTAGGTGACAGAACGAGACCCTGTCTCTTAAAAAAACCAAAAAATGCAAAACAAACAAACAAAAAATCCTATAAAAAGCAGAGGATGATGACAGGCTTATTTTAAAACAAGGGAATTACTGCAAAAAAGGGGTTAAATTATTTGCTAAAAGAGGATACATTGAGGCAGAAACAAACAGCATTCATGATTTTAATATATGACACTACTGCTTGTGTTCCATTTTAGTAAATAAGCTTTAAAAACTGAAAATATTGGCC